AATGACGCCACGAGTGTCTTTTTAAAACACGCCGCGTAATCGGGATAATTAGTTAAGCTGCGCGATTACGCGTGAATCAGCTAACACGTCTCGTTTACGCGATTCAGGCAGGGTGGGCACTCGTTAAGCGCAGGAGTTGACAGAAGCCGATTTCAATTCCTGAAACCAGGATTCTATTCCCACGCAATCTAATTTTCAATGACGAATGTAATCCGACGGCGTCTCGTACGTTCACGTCGCGTGCATAACGTGTTGCGCAGCGCGTTGCACGTGCCATGCGCGCCCGCATCCGTGGCGCAACCGTTGATTGTCGAAACATATTCGCTCGCGCCCGAAGGAGTCGTTCGGCATCGCAGTCGGCGGTCAAAGCGATCGGCAACTGCCGGTCGGATAAGTCTTGACCAGCTCCCGTTCGACCCCGCGACGCGACCGACCGATTTGCGTTCGCTGTTGCGAGCGCGTTGCGTTCGTCCTGCAACGCGTTTTGTCTTTGCGTAATGCGGACTCGCAGCGGAGAAGCGCGTTCGAGCCGAAGCACCCGCGTTCGACACTCGTGCGCTCGCCGCGGCCTCTCAACAAAGGCTGACGACAGAGAACGATCCGTAAACGCTTAAGGGCCTGAGCAGAAAGATTGTCGTAACCGTTCACGATTTTGTCGTAGGACGTAAGTCGGTGTCGCATTATGACGTAACAGCCACATCGAATATTTCAATGTCATAACAATTACCGTTCATTAATTCGTTCACAAAAGGTAGTTTCTTAATAAACATAAAGCGGGAGTTTGCAGGGTACGAATAAAACATATTTCTCCATGTACGATCAATCGGTAATTCAAAGTGTAGGTACGTGAAATGATTCATTCAAACGATTCACAATTCATTTAAGAATCTTATATTATATTCTCGCAATTGTTTGTAATTTTAATAACTCGTAACTTCCGTCAATTTCCACCACTCATTGGCAGAAAGCCCGCACGAATCTGCTCCAAATTTAATTAAAGATAGAAAAATGTCGTCCCTAAATTAAATCGGGCAGATCCACATTCGGTCGGAAAGAAGAAAAAATAAAACTGACAAAGTGTCTCGCCCCGTGAGCGATCCTTTGTTCGCTACATCGCCGAAACTATACATCAACGATCTAAAAAAAGAGCACAAATGCCCCACCGACATCCCCGTTGCGATGTCGAAACGGTGTCACACTCCCCCGGTCAAATATAGCCCTTTATTCCGCGAATACGCGACAAGCTCGCGCTCGTAAGTTCTATCTATAGGCGATTCGAAAGCGGAGCCGCGATACGTCGTATTGACGTGGAGACGGATCTCGTGAAACATGCATGCACGCGAGCTGCGACACGCGGCTCGTCACACTGACCTAGAATCGCGCTGAGAGAAAGAAGAGGTCCCGCTTCTCAGGGGGATGATACTCTTATACGACCGCGCGCGCGGATAATCCGCCCCCGAGTTGAGATTAAAGTCGCTGCTCCGACCGCCGGATGGACACGTGCCGTCGAATCGCCGTTCGGTTCCTCGGTCAATTTGAAAGTCAATTTTCCACCGATGAGAGCATCTTGTTGCAAGCTCCTTCGGCAATTCCGGTACAGCCGTACGAAAGATTCCCGGATTCAATGCTGTTGAACTTGAATTTGTAATAAATAGAATCGACTGTGATAATCAAATTTATTACTGCAAAAGGAACATTTTAATCTTAAGGCGATGTGTCGCACGCTTCCGACGGTAAAGAAATTATGAAAATCGTTTCCAACTTTTCTCGAGAACGGTCTTACAGAATAACTCAGAATTTTTACAGCCAACGTCTGATTAATGGAGAAACAAAGTGGTTCTCCGCGTTATTCCTGATTTGGAAAGAAAATTGCAGTTTTATTTACCACGCAAAAATCTGTAAGTTTTTTTTTTCAAAATCAGGAAAAACGCAGAGAACCACTTTGATCATCTATTAATCAGGTGTCGACTGTAATAATTTCAAGGCATTCTGTAGAGCCGTTTTCGAGAAAAGTTGGAAACGGTTTCATGATTTCTTTACCGGCGGAAGCGTGTGACACCTCGCCTTAAATGGAAAAATCTCGAGTAAAATAATGTTGGCACGTGCGCTGGAAAAAAGCATGCAAAGTTACGTAAATAACGAATGTAGCAATCAGAATTCTAAATAACGAAAATGTATATAAATGTGCTTTTACAAAAATTAATTTACCACTAGCGTTATGACACATCGAGATAAGTTTTAGTCTAAACGCAAGAATATATAATTTTGTTACCTTTATCCCAATAGTAAGTCAATCGATATTTAATTGAATTACTGATTTAATTTTAATATCGGTTTTTATGAGGTTGTGACAGGTTTAAAAATAAATCGAGAATATCTTTCGTCTCGTTATCAGAAATTCTTTCTGCGGGGGTGGATGCTGAATATCTCGGCCATTGATTTTTCAACGAGTAAGGGAACGTCTTCGAAGAAATCCCTATTATACTCGGAAAGTCGGTTGCGAATTGAATGGAGAGAGCGCGGATTAAAGGGTGGTTCTTGGGAATCTCGCGAAACTGCATCGTGACGTTAAATATAATCGCGACGACGAAACATCAATGGAACGGAGCCGTCTGCGGGGAAACGTTGGCGATTTATTACGTACGTTTTCTCGCGAATAAACGAAGGATGTGTTTTACTGCGGGTTTCGTGTGCGAGGCAAGTACCGGGGAAAATATTTTCTCTGGCACGACAAAAGTATATACGTAGCATCTCCTTGACAGTCTCGTTACGTTTGCGAGAAAGTCCGCGGTGCCTCTGTCAAACAGGTTGTAAAATAAATAGAAGATATCTCAAACATCACGGAAAGACGCATCGCGTAGACAAATGGCAAAATTTACTTGTTGTAATTGTATATACGCGCACATTAAAGTGACTGATTAACGATGAGCGCGGTATTCTAAACGAATAGAGTAATTGCCACGGAATTACGCGACTATTAGAGAAGAGTCCCCTATTATGAGATAAGCTCTTAATACGAGATAGCGGAGTTTCTGCTAAATTAACAGGCATCATCTGTTGATTCCTTCATGAATTTACATAGTGCCCTAGAGGTGAGGTGCGTTTAGTGAAAAATTCATTGTCAAATCGTGTAATCGATGCGAAAAAAGATTTGTGATTGAATTTGGACGTTGAAAACCTGTTATCTCGTATTACATCTAAAAAAAGTTTGGTTAAAATGAAACAAATTTGTTCGAATTTACTAGACTCTTACTTAGTTTTAAAGAAATGATTTCTTTACCTTAACAAAAATTTTATTTGATCGAGACTGGAATTTCTAAGAGAATTCATATCTATTTCTTCAAATCTAGCAAATGTTTCAGCACAAGTAAATAAAAATTCGATAAATTCAAAGAAATATGATTTCAACGTATCTTATTTGTCGAACCTAATTAAATCTTTTTTCTAGGCGTAGAGGCCTGTCTCATAATAGAGGATTCTCCTCTATCAGCGAGTATATGATTAACAATTAGACCGAGGGAAAGTTTCGAAGAATGTCGTTCCGAGAGTCGCAATAAATTATTTAAAATTCTTTTCAATCGAGTCTAGAAAGAAATAATTAGCTATTTAAAATCTTAGTGTGTCCGAAAAGATTTTCGTGGCTCTCGGCAGATTTAATGGATGCATTCTCTGATGCACTTTACGCGCGATAAAAATTGCTCCACGTATTTGAACGCATTAACACGGTAATTCAAACGGACTTCTAAATTACGGATTTCAACGGCAATTTCGCCATTCCCCGTTTCGACGCGAGTGATTTTATCGCGCGGAAACGAAGGCCGGCGACAAAACTCGATTGTTTAATCCGCATTTAATGACGCGCCGGGGCTGATCCCCGATTGCCGAGCGCGAAAAACGACGCTGGAGCGACGTTGAGTCTCGCGGAACGAAATTATGCGCGATTACCCGAGTCGAATATTTTGGCCTCGGTTTAGTCTCGTATAACTTTTTAATTGGGAGCAATGAGGTCGAACCAAGGTCTTCGCGTCGGAGAAAATATATTGAACTTTTGACGTCAGATAGGCCTGAAAAGTGTCGCTATTTCCCTTTCAGGCAGTAAAGAGACCAATGCGAGATGCAATCAACAGAGGTTCGGTAGATCCTCTTCGGCCTAAGAGCTTTCAAAAAGAGTGAAATATTCTATTACATTCTCTTTGAGGGTTAAAATGAGGTTAAATACAATTTTTTTGTACTCATCTGGGCCTGAAATTGGAATTTCAAACCGACTCCGAGGTCCAAATGAAGACAGAATAGAGTAGTCGGGGCCCATTCCGGGACCAAATACTCGACTCGGGTAAAAGGACAAGAAAGCGACGTTTAAAGTGACAGTAAAATTAAATCTCGGCGCCGGGCGACAGGTGTAATTTACAGCGAGGAGAAACGTTCGGATCCTGCCTTCGAGACACGCGCTCAGATATTATTATCATTAGTCGCTTATCGGCGCCAACGAATCGCGCACGATAACGCCTGGCCGATCGCGAGTGATTTATTTCCGGGAAGCTGGAAGCACCCCCCGGCCACGCATTAGTGCCTTCTCGCAAATCACCGCTTCGCGAAATAAGTCACGGCTGTGACTTCCACCTCGAGAATCTCTTTCCGCCAATGTATTTTGTTTTCCGCGCGCGGCGACTTCCGGGTATACTTTCACGCAGGGCCGACGTCAACTCGGGGCAATTAGCGTGATTGTTATTATGCAATCTCACGGTGACGATGCTCCATCGTGACGTAACGAGCATTCTTCGTCGCCGCGGATCGCGGAAACTCGTACCGAAACTGGCCATGTAATTTTTAATCGCAGCCATTGTCGAATGACTCAACATTTTGCTGTGACTTGTAATTAACAGTAAACACACGCACTGGTGCAATTAATAATTAATAAGAATTTATACGTGCAAATGCGCAAATGTATGCTTGTTAAATTATTCGTTTATTTAATGACACGTTAATTCCGCCGTTTGCAGGCGACAGAATGGTGGCTAAATGACATGTACATGTCCGTCCCGCTGGCCCTGCCAATCAACAGCAACCCCGGCCTGGCCGCGAAACCGAAGAGATTTGCAAATCAGCAGGAGGCCGCGGTGTTCCTCGCGCGATTTCTCACCGAGCTGCTCAATTATCAGGAATTACTAGACAGGTGAGACAAGCGCAATTTTCCGCAATCCCGCTCGTTCGTTCTGTACGATAATCCGAGGTGCGAATTGTCCGGTCGCAAGTTGCAAGGTTTCGCTCTGCCACTGGATGCGGCAGCGGGCGTTCGGTTCAGTCCCATTCAACTCGAACGTAATGTGGAAGTTCCGCTTTGATCTTCGACCTCCGCGATCATTTCTTCTGGTGCCAGCTACATTCGCTGACCACTTCGGGCGAATTTTAGGACGGCCGTTGGTACGCAACAATTTATCGATAATCGAGGGAGAGACGCAGCGCGCTGGTCTCGACGTGGCCGGGGACAAAAAGAAGCCGCGCTGAAATCAATTTAGGGGGAAGGCGTGCGTCTGCGAGGAAATCCGGCTCGCAAGATCCATAGAAAGCGAGCGCGCAGAGGAAAGGGAGCCGCGCGAGAGAGAATGAGCGGACGTTCGCGAGCTCAAAGGGTCCTCGGAATCCAGCATCCGGACGAGAGTAAGCCGGCGCTGCGAGGAGAGTGTTCCTTTCTTTCCAAAACTAACGCAAATTCGCGACGGGGGAAATCCGCCGCCGGTATTCTTAGCGGCGAGTGCGCGCGGCTCGTCTCGTCTCGCGTTTCTCTGAAATAAAACGAAAGTGAGATTTGAAAGGCGGGAGAGATGCCGGTCACGAAAAAGCCGATCCCACCACTCTTTTATCCTCCGGAAACTCATGTTTCCCTTAATATTCCATATTTTTTAAATACGTCCACGCAAGATTTCATCGTACCTATAAGTTCACAAATGTTTTCCTATCGGGAATCTCAAAATTAACACTTGTGTACGCTTCCAGTAAATTAACCCACGCGGGCTGTTTGTGAGCTTTAACTTGTTCGCAATACAGAAACGTGCGCGAATTATTATGAGAGAGTAAGCTTTGAATCTCGAATAGGTCCGGATTGGAGGTTGAACGTGTGAAATCCAAGGACGGCAAGACCATGCAACCGCTCTGCATGGCGCAACATTATCAGATGTTTCGGATCTATCGGCGGCCCGGTGTAAACAGCGACGAGCAGATTATCCTGGACAGAGCGTCCTCCGGCGACCACATTATCGTCGCGCACCATAATCAGGTGGGATTCAAAGGCGAACAATATCGCATTGACACGAAACGATTGCCGGTGATTCCCATAGATTTCTGCGCTCCGCTCTTTCAGCATTTCAGGGATTACTCGTCAATCAAACTAATCGCGATTACACGTAGCGCGTGATCCTCGATAGTCTTTGAGAATTCAATCAAACATACTGAAAGCAGAAGTTTACCGAACCACGCGGTTTCGAGAAAAAGCGATACTCCGGATCGCCGTCACGATCTTCGCTCGTCCTGTTGCAGTTTTACAGCGTGCCGGTGAGGGCGTCGGACCGAGGCCGGATCACGGAGATCGAACTGGTCCAGCAGCTACTGAGGATCATGGAGACCAAAGCAGATCCCAGAACTCCGCCGGTTGGGATTCTCACGACCGCGAAGCGACCGGCCTGGGCGAAGGCGCGGGAGGAGCTGATCAAAAGTGCGTACGACGCGATTAAAGGTGTCCACTGGGTGTGAGCATCCCGTACGCGAAGAGAACATCGTACTTTAAGCGCCCGATTCAGGGGCTCTCATGCAGTGGATTAAAAAAAAAACAGGAGCTGCGCGTTTTGTAGAAAAAATTGCCCGAGCCTCGATAAATAAAGATAAACGTTGAAGCGGGTTTAATTCGGAGCGGATCTCTGGAATTCATTTAAAGGACACCTTAAACTCTCTCGTTTCTATCGCATCGAGCTCCCTCGCGGTGTATCGCTATTATCGTCTTTATAGAATCCGACAGAGGAGATAAAAAGCTTCATTGACCCGTAACGCGTGTAACGTTTAGTCTCCTGCGAAGAATAAGAGCTCGATTAGCTCGGCTTCGCGCTGCGATGCGGCGCGTTTCAATAGCTGTACGCTTTCGAAACTGTTAAAATATTTACACCACGTGTCATCGTATCCCTAGCGGAAAAAAATTTCTTTAAAAGACTACAAAAAATTGACTTGAAATAGAAATTTGTAGAAATTTTTATATCCTCGTTGAAACATTAATTTTTTTGTAACGAAACAGTACCGCAAATTACATTGTTCTCAAATCAAGAAATTATTGCAAGTAGTTTTTCATGAAAATGTACAATTTCGTAAAAATTAGTACAAAACTTTACTAGTTTAAAAAAAATTGAGAAACAACAAAATCTTAGAGAACTAAAATACCTGCTTAATTGTAGAATATTACAAGAATTAACAAAAGTGTTCCAATTCTAGCATTTCCATGTTGATTTTTAAAGCACTTAAATTCACATAGAATTTCTTAGATTCTAGCATTTTTATGTTGATTTTTAAAACACTTTAAATTTACGTAGAACTTCTTAGATTCTGGCAGTATATATTTTTTATGTAGAATTATTTCCGGCAGGGATCACAGCTGATTGTGTTGATTTTCTCTCGCGATCCCCGCGCGCCACGTGCAAAACGAACGCCTCGCGCTCCGCAATTGTATCTATTGTCGGTCGAGCGATTTACTCGCGAAGCTCCTGCGCCCACGGGCGTTTATCTCACTGCCGAGAGAAAGAGAGGGAAATATGATAATCCGGTTATCTAAAAACTAGCTTGTCTACGGGCGACCCTCGTCGCCACGTGCCCTCGCCATAATTATCCACTCGCGTTCACCCGCTCCGCCAATATTCGCAATATTCCCATTAACTCCCTAACCCGACCTTGCTCAACGGGAACCGTACGACCCACCTACGCCTGCAAATCGAATGAACGGCCGACGCTAACGAGCTAACGGCGACCCGCGCGTTCGCGTTGATTAATTAAAAGCCAAGCCGAGTGTCGCGAAGACAACGGAGAGATTGTGGCTCTCGTTAAAGTAGTGCGATCCCGGAGTTTCGTTCTAATGGAGCTCGTAATGCGCTCGGGTTTCGTATTCACAGCGTAAGTTTTGAACGATAAAGCTAGTTAGACTTATGTTACGTAAATTTGATCATCACTTGCGCTGCCTCCAAGTGAAAAGGAACGATCTCGTCTATTTTCACATCGCAAGAATCTACTATCTAAAAATCAACCGGTGGATTATCGCTGAAAACAGAGAATGGTCACTGATATGCGGTTATAATATACCACTGCGATTTTCTTTTAAATTCTTAAAGTAAGTTTTAAGTTTACCCTAAATAAAAGTTTAAAGTGCCCAAATGTACTTTTCATATTTCTTATTTTTCTAAAGTAAAATTTTAAGGCTTTCTAAGGTGTATTTTCCCAAGAGGACACGGCATTTTAAAGAATTTTATGAGTTTTTTAAATTTTACCATGCGTTTCACTACTAATTATACTTAGTATATTTAGTATATGTATGTTACAATAGTAAAATGTATGGTAAAATGTATGGTACAATTTTCAGGATAAATTTTAAGAAAACATTTTCTCCGTGTGGTATGCTTATAACTGCACTGAAAAAAATTTCTGGTTGAATATGGACGAATCAGATAATTCCTTTAGGATTTACCAGAATTCCTTTAGGATTTACCAGAATTTCTGTAGGATTTACCAGAATTCCTGTAATCCTACAGAAATTCTGGTAAATCCTAAAGGAATTCTGGTAAATCCTAAAGGAATTATCTGATTCGTCCATATTCAACCAGAAATTTTTTTCAGTGTGCAAATCAGTAACTATCCAGTGTTTTCAGCGATAATCCACTGATTGACTTTTAGATAAAGTAAAGAATAAAAGTTCTTAAAAGAAAGTCACTGATACAAATAATAGAAACACCTTATGTGGTGTTTCTATTATGTTGCATATACACCCTTTTTAAACACAGAAACCGATAACTTTTACGCTGAAGTTGAAATGGTGTACCTATTAAATTGATAATCAATCTAACAATATTTTTAATTAAGCATCCTTTAGGAACGCATTGTAAAGACTTACAAAAATTTTTTTCTAGAATTATGAGCTATATTAGATGTTTCAGAGCGATATAAAATTTAATTAAATGTAGCAATGCAATGAGGAACCCAGCGCCATTTTCATAATTTTTAGTTCCGTATCGCAAAGTGATCATAAAGGTCTGCGGTATATTTTGCAAAAAATGAGTCAACTCTCTGTAAAAAGCACGCAACACAAGTAATTGTGCTTGAAATAATGTTGGCACAGAATTTTCTTTCTGATGTAGAAAAAGCGCATATTACCCATGCAACTGTATTTGAGATTATAATGTTGGCACAGAATTTTATTTTTAATGTGAAAAAAGTGCACGTAACACACGGAACTGTATTCGAAGGGGACTATAGTTCGGTCATTATATTCGAAATAACGTCGGCGCAGAATTTTATTCCTAATGTTCCGCGAGATTTACTCGAGCGGAAACAGCTGGTCCCGCACTGCAGAGCCACTGCGTCCAATTTAACATCCAATATTCAAATCCGAAGCGAAGCAAGCGGAGTCGGACTTTCTAACAGCTTTCATTTAATTCCCATTATTATTGCGGCGATTCTTTACTATCGCTCCTCATTCCCGCAACATCGCGCAACGCGTGGATGCCGGGCGTTGCGAAACTCGTTATATCGCTGTAGCTGATGGTCGCCTGAATTAACAAGACTGCGAAACGGCTTCCAGACGAGCGCAATCGTCACAATCTGGAGCTGTTGGAGCGCTGTCTCTGCGTCGTTTGCATCGACGACGACGTGCTGCCGACCACATTTAACAATCCCATGAAGAAGGAGGACCGATGGATCGGCGACCGAGATTACGCGAACGTGCTTCATCACGCTCTTCACGGCGGAGGATCCCGGCACTTGGGCGCGAATCGCTGGTTCGACAAGACTTTCCACGCCATCCTCGGCAAGGTACGTTTAATTTAAACCGCTAAAGTCGATCTGCGACAGCCATAAACGCGCTCAGCCTTACTGGCGCAATAAAGCTACGCTTATTATGTAATTTTCATCATCCTCTTCCCTGCCTCGAAACGAAAGGACAACAACTTCGCCCATTTCCCAATTGCTACACGGAAAGAATTTTCACTTAAAATTTACCCCGAACATCGTGTAATCGTGCGACAATATAAAATTTTGAACAACTCTCCCAGATAACATGCGCGTCTAAAGGCCTGTGTCCACGATGCTTGGTCCAAGTTCTAGTTTCGAGAAATGTGTAGCCACTCTTGCATGTCCCAGATAGCATGCATGTCTAAAGGCTAAGTTCTTGGTCCAAGTTCTAGCATCGTGGACACAGGCCTTAAAAGACATCTTCAAGACTGCATTAAGTTGTTTTTTTACACATGTACGCCTAAAAGTGTCTTAAAGATATCTTATAGACATGCACTGTTATCTGGGGTAGGAGAGTTTCTTGAAATTTCACCGTACATTCTACTAGTAAAATGTATACTAACAATAAGTGTAATTAACAGTAAAATGTATGATAAAATTGAAAAAGAACTCTCACAAAATTCTTCGAAGCGCCAGTTGTCCGACGATTACACGATTTTTTAGGATGAATTTTAAGAAAAAAGTCTCCCCGTGCACGAAAATATAAAAATCTTTGTGTTATAAAATTTACGAGGGCACTTATATAGATAGTTCAGGTCAATTCGAAATCTAATTTAGAATCCGAAGGGAAGTATCACTGTTAAATTTATATAGTGTTAAATTAACTCGACGAGTAGTCACCACTGCTCAATACGTTGTTATTTTTAACCGTCATGTGGAGTAAAATTGGTTATTTTAACGCAATTTGTAGTAGAGAGACGATCTTTCACTCAACTCACTTCAAGGTTTCTTTCAACTCCATCGTTTAATTGAATTAAACGACATAATGAATCTCTACTCGCTGAGTTAAATTTAATTTTACTCTAAATTTGCTACAAATTTAACAGCGTAAGCGGAGTTAAATTTTTTTGATACTTTTCAAATGCGCTCGTCACGATAAGCGACATTTGACGGAGCTCACCGTCGCGTAAACCGAGAGAACATAGCGCGATGCCAAATGATACGTCCAGCGGTCCAAGCAGTTCCTCGAGAAATCGACCACAGGCAACAATCCGCGACGGTACCTTTTCCACGGATGCGCTCGGCAAAATTGGACTTATCACTTTCACCGCTTCCAAGATGACTCTTCGATGTGATTGGTGTCAGGGTTCACGGGCGAAATCGCCGTTCGTGAACTGCCGCGACGTTGCGGCACATATTGCGCTTTCATATGCCGCAGCGGCGGAATGCGCTGCTTAACCCTTTCCTCGTCGCAACGTTTCCACGGACGACAAAAATAGTTGCGCGCATTCGCGTATCTGTCTCCGTATCGCGTCTCGTTTGCGATTGATCAGTTAATTAATCTTCCGCGACGGGGATTTCTCTGTAGCTTCATTTTATTTGTTAATCATATTGCGTAAACGAGCGAGATTGTTTGATCGATCGTTTTCTCTCTTTTGACCGTTCGCATCATTTATTAATGCGAACGTGATAGTAACGGTATGTTAATAGACAAACGGTTGCGCAATAATTAACTTTGTGTAACGATAGCAATAAATATTAACGGATAACTTGCGAGTTTTAATTATTTGATATGTTTCTCGCGTGTATTTCTTTTTTAATTTGCTCGAGATTGAATGCATAATTTATATATTTATAAAAAGTTAAATTCTGTCTGTCTGCTCAAGCGAAAGTAACAACAAAATCTTAAAGAATTAAAACATCTGCTTGCTTGTAGAATATTACAAAAATTAACAAAAGTGTTCTAATTCTAGCATTTCTAGCATTTTCATGTTGATTTTTATAACACTTTTTAAGTTTACGTAGAATTTCTTAGATTCTGGCAGTTATATTTAATTTTTTGTAAAATTTTGTAGAATTTTTTCCGGCAGAGTGTATGTTCTTTATACAATTATACACCAATAGACCGATCTGAACCAAGTTTGGCATAGTTATTCAGTAGAATTCTGCGAAAAATATAGGCTATCTTTTATGTATCCACCTTTTGTCTCCTGAAATCATTTTAGAGGTGGAAAGTCAAATTTCAAACCCTGAAATCAATAGATTTTAATATATAAACCCACGGAAAGATCTTGACCACGTTTGACAGTGTCCTTTTATAGAATTCTGCGACAAAATAGGCTGAAATTAAAAAGAGATATTGAACAAGAATGATATTCAGAAAAAGGTGATTCAAGAGAAAGGAGGCCCGAGCGAAGCCGGATAAGACTGCTAGTATATTTATAACGCAGCTTAATATCTTTCGTGTAATGGTTCTGTCACCTGATATGTTCACACGTTACATTTCCCATAAATTCAATCATTGTTTCGAAGGAGGGCCGTCTTTTCTCGACACGAATACAACTGAATTCTATTCAACTTTTGTGTACGACATTCACCAAATCCTAGAACCAACCATACAACTGCTCTCATCAGCGACTGTTCTGCAAACATAGGACGGAATGTGGGGATTGACTTACGAGCATTCCGCTGGCGAAGCACCGGCCGTCTTTCTGGCGTTTGAGGAGGTGACGGAGAAGGTGGACGCCATGTCGCCGCCGGACGAGAATTTCGTACCCTCGCATCTGCCGGCGCCCGAAAAGCTGGAGTGGTGCCTCACCGAGCAAAGTCTGAACGATATCCGAGAGGCGATGATGAACTTCGACGCGTAAGTAACCCCGGAAAGAGACAGAGAAATCGAGAAACTTGTCCTTTCCCAAGAGCAGAGCGGAAAGCTTAAGAGTCAAGATCATATGAAAAAGTAATCATTTTTAGAACGTCAAAGTGGCTTTTAACGAAACCTAATTTGAATTGTTTTTACTATATTTTGACGTTTCGATGATTTTCGCTGGATAACGCAAATCGCTTGTGCGTGTGAGATGATTAAGATCTCGCAGATATCCTAAGTAGAACAAGTTAATCACAAAAACGTCAATGTGATATTAAAATGATGAATTTTACGTCATAAAATGATCGACATCAAGATTTACTTTGCAATGACTGATTTATGACATACTGTTTTATGATATTCGTGATGTGTATAATAATATATTATTACAGATTACACGATCAGTCATATTATGTTTATCTTATATTACTTCAATTTATTTTTAATGTATAGTATTTAATTAACTTTGCTTTGTAAAACAAGATCATTTTTACAACATTTTGATGTCTTAATGATGTCACAAATAGGTGCTCTTGGTGAGCTATTTTGACGTCATGATGCATAAAAAATGATAAAAAATGATATCATTTTGATGTTTTCATGACTAATATGTTCTACTTGGGATTGTTACATTTTATGAACTTATGACAAAGATATTTGATTTTTGAAGCGTTGACTCTCATTCGCCAGTCGCAAGATACAAGATAAAAGCTCAATAATACACGCCCAGTGAGAAATGACTCGTCGATCGACGTCAAAACGATGTCGAATCGACATCGACATCTTCAAATTGATGTCGAATTGACGTCGTGTCATGTCGACATCGATCGACAAATTACTTCTCACTGAGCACCTTTCAAAATATTAAATACCCCAAGGGGAAGTGGCAAGTCAAGATGACGTCAATTTGATGATTGACGTCACATTGACCAAGATGTGACATAAATTTGGTCAATATAACATCAACTTGATATCATCTTGACTTTTTATTTCTCCTTGGGACTGCACTTTATCACACAAATCGTATTCATAGTCAGATCCTATATTCAAGACCGTCTTAACATCATCCTTAGATACACCGAAGCCAATGAAATGTTCCATACAGCGTCTGCAGATGAATTCAAGACGGTCTTGAACATAAGATCTGACCATGAACTTAGGAGAACTCCTTGTCACAATAAGTTCAAATTATTGCGAAGATACAATTACGCCAAAACTCATAATTCGATCAATTTTCTGTCATGATCAAAGTATGATGGTCATTTTGATGCCATTTTGACTTCATCATGACTTCTTGTTCTGCTTGGGGTAGTTTCCACTTGCGATCGAACCTTATAAGGGTTGTTAAAGAGAAGGTAACTGTCGAAAACGCGACGTCCTGTTCGCAAGTCTGCATTTATATTTTTTTCTCGCCTTTCAGGCTGGTCGAGGATCTGGACCTCTGTATTCTGTGGTTCGAAGATTACTCGAAGGAGTTTGTGAAGTCCTGCAGAGTCAGCCCGGACGCGTACATACAATTAGCTCTCCAGCTTACGTATTTCAGGTATATTGAAGTGAGAAGACGAACTCTTTTAATTTCCAAATCTCACGCACAAAACTGATTTCTCCAGTTGATCCTTTCGCGCAGATAACGTATGTGTGTTATTAAAAGTATTTCTGTCGTTTCAGAATCCGTTGGTAGTAAAAAAATCGCCCTGGAAATGTTTCACTGAAAATATAATGAAATTCTGTCGAGATGTATTCGAAAATCTCGTTCCATTCACCCCATTTCATTACGTTTCAATAAAAATTTCAGTGAACGATCATTTCAAAAATTGTTTATTAAAACGTAACACAGTTTTTAATTAGAGTAAATTTCATAATTTCTTATTAACTTTCAATACTATACTTTAATTCTTCACAGCATTGAATTTTATAAGAAAAATTATGTTGAGATACATTCAATAACTTTTATTTCACTTTTCATCGGTTTCATTAGTGCTTTCAGCAAAATATAAAATATCAGGGTAGACTCGGAAATAGAAAGATGTTCGTAGGCAGAAGTTAGTAACCGTGCCAAGTCGCCATTTCACCGCCATAGGACGGTATTCATAGTTAGATCTTATATTCAAGACCGCCTTAACATCGTCTTCAGATACTTTGTAGCCAATGAAATGTTCCGTACAGCATCTTGAGATAAATTCAAAACGCTCTTGAACATAAGATCTGACTGTGAATATCGGCCATAATCTCACGGTGTTCGCAGACTCCACGGGAGATTAGTGGCCACTTATGAGAGCGCCGGTATCCGGAGGTTCGCGTTGGGTCGAGTGGACTGCATCCGGGCCGCCAGTCCGGAAGCGCTGGCGTGGGCGAAGGCCATGTGCCAGGGCGATCCGCACGGGCAGATAAATCAGCCGAACAACGCCGTGGACGGGAGCCCCAAAAGAGTTCAGTTCACCATTTACAGTGTAACTGAAACTTGGCATTTTTCCTATGCGATTCTCGTGTCGTGTAACACACACAGCTCGAGTACACTCGACAGAACTGCGACAAGGTCGAGCGGAATGCGTTTACCTACTTTACTTTCCTCCAATCTCGCTAGTGCTTTCATTCTTCTAGTGCTCCTTGCTCCGTCAATTTGTTTTGTAAATACAAATAAATTTTATTTCGCACGGATTATTTTGCTCTATATAATTTACGATCGTTTATGGATCATTTGATTAGGACAGTCTGTCGGCGCAAGATAACGAAACCTTGGCGATATTCTGCTGGATACGCTGATCTCGAGGAAATTAAACGTTGAAGATAACGGGTGATATTTGTAACGGTTGAGCATCCGCAAAATTTTCACGACTCGACAGATCGCTGGTTAAAAACGCTATATTCTCAAAAATCTCTTACCACGTAGCAACTTGATCGTAGCGGATTCGTAGCCAAGTACAATCGCGCGTGCTGAAAGATATACTATATTTCTATGTATCACGATGCGTCTTTTGCAGTGCTATGAAAAGTTTCTGAGCGGTTGGTCGTATTGCCCATTTACATTGCCAAATGCATCTATCTACGAGAAGGTTTCGGTATAATATCTACGCTGTTTCCTTTCCGTTTATAGACAGAGTCTCTTGTCCTATGTGATTATCAAAACTTACGTTTTCTCATCATTTACACGGAAAGAATGTTCTCTTCAAATTCACCCTCTGAAAATTATGTAATCGTGGGACAACGTGGCAACGTGAAGGACTTTATGAATTTTTTTTAAATTTTACCATACATTTTACTGGTAATTATATAATGTATGGTAAAATTTAAAAAAACTCTCATAAAATTCTTGGAAAGGCCACGTTGTCCTATGATTACATGATTTTCAGGATAAATTTTAGGAAAAAATTCTCTCTGCGTAGATTACGATCGTGTCATTTCTGTTACACTCTGTCTTCGTCGTTTGTTGAACGTACGTATTCATGTGTGTTCACGTGATATTTTTGTATTTTATGATTTTATTTCGGCATACGATACATTTCTGTGATAGTTTTGTAATGACGATTTTGTAACGACATACGTTACGTATATGTGTATACCACACCACGCTTCAGCTGACCTGTCAGGTGCACGAAGTCGTCGGTGTGTAGAAACGTTCATGTACGAGCACCTATGCCAGTTATTTACGTGCAATTTTTTTTTATTTACGTTGTACTGAAAAGAGATGCTCCTCGAATGATATCCAAATAGCTCTTCTCTTTGCGTTTATATTTTCTCAAAGTATCAGCTCCGGGAAGAAGAGAACCGCAGTTGGAAAAACCGCCCGTGTAAGATCCGCAAGTTTGGCCGGACGGAAGGAAAAGTAGGGAACCCCCGAGGAAAGGGCAATCAATTAGACCGGGCCGCCGGCTCACAATCGCTTGTCCTTCGCGATCGAGTATTTGCACGATCCTCGAGAGGCACCCGGGCAAGTTCCGCGGGGATATTCCGTTTGTTTCCCTTACACGGCTCACCCTCGTTCGGGATCTACTGCGGCAACGAGCTGTTGTTTCTCATTTACCGCGCCCGGTTGTTTCCCCTTCAGCAGGGATGTTGTCTCAGCCGCTCTTTTTTTCTCTCCCTCGTCGTCATTTCTTGCTCGCATAGCAAGTTGAACTCTCCGCAAAGGTATCCCCTCAAAATTCGCGGATACGTCCTCGAAATTCTTACGGCAACAACTTCCGAATTTGCTTAATCCGCGAGCTTATTTTCCTTATTTCTAAGAAAGCCACTTTTGTCCGCCCGACATTATTTATCTGTTTAAGTTGCAACTTGTTTATGAATTTTGTTTACGTCTACAGAACTGATTGAATGAACGCCGATTATCCTCACGCTCGATGTTGCCTTTCACCGTGTTTCAGAAGCATTAATGTCACAGAGTGTCGCCTGCTTCACGAAGTAGCAATAGCTGCAAAAATAAAAGTCTCTGTCCATTAAAATCGGAATATCATGGAGAGGAACTCACGGTACGAATTAGATGCAGAAAGATTAGTTTAACATCCATTAGGATACTCATTAGATCGGCAGATCCACCTGGTTAAATCAACGTACCGGTTCCTCCGTGATTTCTCCGAGCTTCTTGTCGAACTTTGATACGTGTGTCGGGACAATCTTCGTCGAGAGAAGACTCGAACGACCGGGTCGCGTTGGATTCAATTGAACGTTGCTTCCGGCTCGCTTCCCCAGGCGGAAAGGATCAAGGAGCTGTTCGACCTGGCGGTGCAGAGGCAGACGAAGGAGATGAACGACAACATACACGGCCAGGGCATCGACAACCACCTGATGGGGCTGCGTTACGCGGCGAAGGAGGCCGGCGAGCCGATCCCGGAGATCTTCACGGACGAGGCTTACGCGATCGTGAATCACTTCGCTCTCTCGACGTCACAGGTTAGTGATCAGGGTCGGTCCACCGGTTCGAGTCGTCATCAGCGTCGATTCTGCAAAATTCGCGACACCGGTGCCTTTCGATTAGCGAACATTTCGGGAAATTGTCTGTTATGATAAAATGTATGTATTTATCACGTTTGAACAATGACACACGAGCTCGAAATTATTGAGATAACGAGTCTGCAACCTATTTCCGGTGAGAGCGTTTCGCCTTTTAATTATCTACGCCGATGCATGCTGTAAGGAGATCGTTATTTAAAGTGGTTTATCGTGGCGAAATATAAGTCAAGATCCCGGAATGCCGTGAGTGTGTTTGTAAAGGTGCTTAATGACTCGGACAGCTCGAGGTCGACGCGGTACCGTCAGTTTGTTTGAGAGAAGTTACGTAACTGTTTTACATCTTGAGAGGACGCGATCTTAATTAACATAGAATAGAAATAGGCTCGCTCGTGCACAGGATTTAATATCGGTACACGGAGAGAATTTTTTTTCTAAAATTTATCCTGAAAATCGTGTGATCGTGAGACAACGTGGCATTTCCAAGAATTTTGAGAGTTTTTGAAATGTTACCATACATTTTACTAGTAATTATAGTAAGTACACGTGTTACTAGTAGAATGTGCGATAAAATTTCAAAAAATTCTCATACAATTCTTCAAAACTCTAGCGAAAAAAAATTCTATAAATAATTACAAAAATTGACTTGGAATAGAAATTTGTAGAAATTTTTATATCTTCGTTGAAACATTAATTTTTATTGTAAAAATATCTACGAAACAGTAGCACAAATTACAATGTTCACAAATCAAGGAATTATTGCAAGTAGTATTTCATGAAAATGTACAATTTTGTAAAAATTAGTACAAAACTTTACTAGTTTTAAAAATTTCAGAAACAACAAAATCTTATTAGAGAATTAAAACATCTGCTTAATTGTAGAATATTACAAGAATTAACAAAAGTGTTCCAATTCTAGCACTTTCATGTTGATTTTTACACCACTTAAATTTACGTAGAATTTCTTAGATTCTGGCAGTTATAATTATTATTGACAGTTATAATTATTCTGGCAGTTTTTGTAGTATATTTTTTGTAGAATTTTGTAGAATTATTTCCGGCAGGGAAAGCCCACGTTGTCCCGCGATTACATGACTTTCAGGGTAAATTTTAAGAGAAAATTCTTTTCGAGTAGGATATTTTCTCGGTGTGGATACATTCCGCGCGGCTCAGGTCTCTCTCATTCGTTGATTCCTCGATTTATTAATAACCAAAAATCGAGTTTTATCGTTTAAATCTATATTTCTACTCATTTATTCTTAAATGGAAAAATCTTCCTCAGCTCAGTCCCTGATAGCCAAACTTGTTAACAAATTTTGCGAATTTTGCCGAATACTCGTTAAAAAGTTCGTAAGCGGAAAAGCGTGAAATTTGATGCAAACTCTGTTATACCAGACGGTATTGACAATCAGCAGAAATATAATAAAATCTGGTGATACATCGTCACAGCAAACTGCCGCCAAATACCGAGGAAAAAGCTCGACGACAAGTTGCATGCTTCGCTCGGTTTTTGGTGTCAATTTGCCGTCATGTTATGTCTGTGAGATTTGCCAGCAAACCACGAGCTAATTGCAGACACAAGCGAGTTTCATGTCAATTTAACGACGATTTAACAAATTGCTTACCGGGGTGGCGGTGGCCGAGTTGTTTAAAAGGACAGGGATACATTTTTGAACGGCGTGACGCTTTAGATGAAGGTAAGATCTATCCCGCAGGTGACGACCAAGAACGACGTGATCATCGGATACGGGCCGGTGGTGCCGGATGGCTACGGGTGCGCCTACAACGTGAGGAAGAACGGCTTCATCTTCTCGGTCTCGGCCTTCCACAGCGACGGCCGGACCAGCGCGATGCAATTCGCGCAAACACTGGAGCAGAGCCTGCGGGACATGGCGGCCATGATAAAGAATTCCAAGAAGTGATAGACGCGCGCGTGATAGCTTCGCGAAGCGTCTTCTCAGCGCAGCTTCCGTCGCCGATCCTGGCGGCGACGTAGGAGGTAAAATGGAAGAATGTCGAGCCCCGAACGCATCGCACGAGGCCCGTGTAAGATGCGCGCTCGAACGACCCCGAGGTTACTTTCCCTCGTTCACGAGAGGCTCGTCTTTCGAGAAGTTTGCGAGTAGATGAGAGGCGCTCGTCTGAGAAGCGGCGTTTTTCGTTTCTTCGCGTGTCATCGTTTCATTTCTCGCGGTAGTCGACTACTCCGTTCGAACCAAGCACGACTTTCGAAGCACCCTTGCACGGAGTCGTGTATGAAAGTATATGGTAGCTTCAGTCGCGTGGTGACTTAACTAAGGAACGCGTGCGTACACGTAGCGCAGGAGGAGATTTATCAGCTCGCTCCCGCACAACTTCTTAGACATATCGTTAGTTTGATACAATCCCTGTGAAGCATACAGAAGAGAGAGAGAGAGAGAGAGAAATTAGCGAAGGGATGAAGCGGGCGAGCTTATCGGAAGCTGCCGTGGTTCTTAAGGTGTCCCTGATGGGTACATTTTGCTGAAAGTATGAAATCGACATGAAAACGTTACTGAAAAATTACCTGAATGGAACGGAATCACAATTTTCCTTATAAGATTTAAAGTGTGATTCAAGTAACGTTAAAAAATACTGTGGAAAAATAATTGATAAAATAAAATATAAAATCATAAAATATTAGGTATCATGAAATCCACTGAATTTAACCGAGAACTGTGCTGCTTTTAACGAAAATCATTTTTCACTCAATTTTTATTAAAGTATTGATGGAACGATAATGAAACCGAGTCAATTGGGGGGGATTTTCAAATACGTTTCAGCAAAATTGTATTTCATATTTTCAATAAAATATTTCCACCGGGCTCCTCTCTTCGTTGAATGGGCTGGCACTAGAAACGTATCTCTCTCTCGTTGTCTGTTTTCTAAAGGAATACGTACAAAACGTATACTCACACACACACACACGCGCACGTATACTCACACACACATACACACACGTACACATATACGCACGTTTACATAATCTTGTTCGCGAATTAAAAACCCTTCAGCGGTAGTCGTCGTACAGTAGGCGTCGTATGTTATAGATCGATCGGTCGTTCGGAAACTCTAGTTCGCTCCAGGAGAGAGAGAGAGAGAAGAATAAAGTTTCTTCGAGCGTTATGCCCGGGCGCTGGAAAAATCGCTGAAACGATAAAACTGATTCCGTTTCGGTCGAGAAAAAGCCGAAGAGAGAGACAGCACACCGCTGGATCTTCTTCTCCGATCGTCCCATCGAGAAGAGGACGAAGTTCTAAGTGTCTAAAGCTGCTCGACTCGCCGATCTCTTGCTCCATTCACCGCTTCTGCGTTTCTCGCAAACAATCGTACCTCGGTTCTCCTCTCTCCAACTTGAACTTTTTGCCACTCCGTGTCGGTGTTGTTACAGTTTCCAGCGCGCGGGACCTCGTCCACCGCAGAAACACTCTAAATGTGGCCAATCGTACGTATGTTGGCGCCCGCACAGTAAACTCTTGTCCATTTCTTAGGTAGGTCGACGGATCGCACCGCTCATCGAGAGCCGGTCGATCGTCGGCGGTATAGCTCTATCTGTCTATCGCGCTATTCTTCTACGCCCTACGATTTACCATAGCTGACTAACCCATACCGTGCCAGAGTTTGCGACCGATAAGGCTGTAACCGTACGATTTGGCTCGACAAAGTCGCACGTGTTGTTAATCGTAATCGTAATTACGTGTTATGGATATGTAACAATATTTGTGCAGTTTCTCTCGGAGGTCCATTGAATGTTCTCTTATTCGCAATTTCTCTGGCCGATTCGGAGGACAATTTTTCCTTGGCGAAAATGTTGGTGGAAGTCACCAATCCCAGCGGAAATATTTTGCTGAAAATATACCACGAAATCGATAAAACGTGAAATAAAAGTCATTAAAAAATTACTGAATTCGTTTCAAAATAAACGATCATTTTTCTTAGAAAATTCAATGTGACATAAATGTGAAATATAAAGAAAATTGAAGTATACCATTGAAAAGCGGTGAACAAATTATAACATATTTTTGAAATATTATAAAATTTACTGAATTTAATTAAATACCGTTGCTCTTTAGTGAAAATAATTATTCATTTAATTTTTACTGAAATATTGAAGTAACTATAATAAAACGGAGTCAATCGAGAGGGATTTTCTCATCCATTTCAACAAAATTTCATTATACTTTTAGCAAAATATTTTCACCAGGAAAGTCTTCTCTCTAAAAGTCAATCAGTGAAGTATCACTGAAAACAGTAAATAGTCACCGATTTATAGTTATATATAAGTATACGACTGCAATTTTCAATAGTTTACTTATAACTGCAAATCAGTGACTATATTCACTGATTTGCAGTTATAAGTATATTACTGAAAATTGCAGTGGTATACCTATAACTATAAATCAGTGACTCATTTACTGTTTCCAGTGATAATCCACTGATTGACTTTTAGACAATTGATATTCCATCAAGATGCAGATGTAATTAAGATAAAAGATTTTGCCCGTTCGTCTTTTATCTTAAAATTTAGCTTGCGAGGATTCGAAGATCCCCGCAAGTTAAATTTTAAAATAAGATATTTAATCGGAAATCCTGAATATTTCGTTCTTGTTAAGGAAAAATTAATCTCGAGTCGGAAGAGAGAATCAGAAAAGGACACATGTAGCCATTTTGAGCTTATCTGTATATAAGTAACATAATGATAGAACAGGGTTGGGAAGGTTACTTTATAAAAATATCTAGTTACAGTTACAAGTTACCAATTCTGAGAAGTGACACGAATCGTTACTTTGCAGTTACTTTCTTGCAACGAAAATAAAAATGTCAAATCTCCATTTGAATTAATGGTAAAGTGTCGATAAAGCGTTTATGCGCAAGTGCAAGGCCTAATGCGCGATCTATGGAAGTTTAAAATATATATAAAGTAACTATTAACGTAACTATTAAATTAGTTACTAGTTGTCGAAGAAATATAACTAAGTTACAGATGGAGAGAAAGTAACGAAGTTAAGTTAGAGTTACCAAAAAAAAAGTAACTGCAAGTTCGTTACAAGTAACGAGTTACTTCCCAACCCTATGATAGAATGTATAGAATTCCGCTGAGATCGGATTTCAATGCCTCAAATACACGAAGGTGCTCTTCATCGAGACGATATCGGTCCCAAATCTTGGTATGCACTGACCTCACAAATGGGGGTGGGGGAGGACAGACTTCACCAACTCCACACAATTTAGGTAAACTTATCGCTCGGCGCGACTTTGCATTGTTACGCTCCTAGATCTGGTAATATTACGTATTACTGTTCATTTAAATTGGATCGCAAAAGAACCAGGTGAGAATTTCCTAAGAACGCAAGATGTCCCATTTCTACATCATCTACCGCTTTAACGCTGAACTCTTTAACTCGTTTAAAAAGTCCACTTTTCCGCACCAAAGCACTTATGTCTCTTGAATAATCAGCGATTAAAGATAAAAGACACGAACTTAGTTTCAACGAAGAAAACTAAATAACAAGATCGTCGGTTAATTTTAAATGAACTTAACTTTAACAGAAGTTTAAATCGAGTGTGTCTCGCAGTTGAAAAAAGAAACACGCAGTGTTAAAAGTTTATAGATAAAACGTTCTCTTTCCATGCTCTCGTTGGAAAAATTAATTTCAAATTAGCTAGAAGAATCTATATGAAGAGGTTAATACGGTAGAGAAACGAGATATATCCTATACTTCTCGGAGATTATGCCTGTGTAAAAAAAAATATATCGCGTATCTATCTGTACATATCAAGCACATATCAGATATCAGACACACGCGTAGTATCGCCGCGTGTAGATCCCATCGTGACGATTCCACTTCTCTGAACAAGAATATGTTCGATTCGTTGGAACAAAGGCGATTTAGATAATTTAGACGATCTGTCGCGCTCGCCTCGTCTTGTCGCACCGCGATATTGTTGTTATCAATAGCATCGTGTGCTTGCGTAGTTGTAACGGAGATTAACCGAGGGTATCATCTGTAGAGATGAGAGAATTTTCTCTTAAAATTTACCCTGCAAATAATGCAATCGTGGGACCCTTTGGGAAAATTTACTTTAAATGTAATTAAAGTTCTTAAAAATAATCTTACAAATCTAAGAGTTAACTTAAAGAAGTTAAAAGTTTACTTAAAAGATTTTTTTAGAGTAATTTTGGACACTTAAAGTAATTTTTAGATAGCCAAGCTGTCCCGCTAGAGGGCCGCGCGGTATAGCACTTTCTCGTAAGAAGAAAACCGAACGCGGTATAAATTATATCACAATACTTTTCACACAATTCTTAAAGTTTTCTTTTAAATTCTTAAAGTAAGTTAAAGTTCTTTTAAATTCTTGAAGTAAAATACATTTTACTGGTACAATTTCAAAAAACTCTCGTAAAGCTGTTCAAAATGCCACGTTGTCCCACGATTACATTATTTTCAGGGTAAATTTTAAGAGAAAATTCTCTCCGTGTATAAGACAAAGTCGCGGTTATAAGCCAAAAGTTTTTAGATGTCGACGTTTAGTTCTGAATAGTTCCTCTAGTTAATTAAGATACGGTTAATTGTGTTAGAAAAAAAAATGAGGGAAAGATGGATATCATGGGAGAGGCTTTGAACAAGACTTTTTCCCCCGACAGATTCGTGTGAAAGAAAAATTACATGTTGTTGTGCGCAAAAGGACACGACTTTTCCGTTATGATACATCGCGATCTGTCGATACTGATTTATCAGATTCCTACGTGTTTGCGAGTAAGAAGAAATTATCTGCGACTTTGCTACATACCGAGTCGCCCTCATCTTCTTATCTCGTGTTCTTATTGCAGGAGCATATTGTTAACGTTAAATACGATAGATTTATTCACGTTATTCATATTTCATGAAGTCATTATTACGAAGTCACGACAGACTCGAATCTTAGCTATATTACGTTAATTTTGTAAAGTTCTTAAAGAAAGTGGGCCAGTGGATCTATAATTAAAAGTTACGATTTATGTATTCCTAGAGTTAGCCCCAAAGGAACTCCTTTTGGTTCTTCCCTGTTAAAGCCTCGTTTTCTTCTTCAAGCTTTATCTGCGTTATCATTATTCGACTCGCTGTTACGTTACCCACGAGTTAAACCAGTTCGAATTTTATGCGAGTTAATCGCGAAAGGTACCACGAGGGAGCACGGTGTCCCCTCGTTGTTGTTAGCGAAAGAAACAGAAAAGAAGATATTTGTGTGTACATATTATATTCGAGAATACACTCGGTGGCGGAAAATGTCAAGGAGCTTCCTCTTCCGACCAACTACGAGACGCGTCGACGTTGTAAAATGTTACATGTCGTCTACAATTGGCACCCGCTTTTTCACGTTGTCTAAGAATCGCGATCGAAGAGAAAGAAGAAAAGGAAGAAGCCCTTGGCCTTCCGCCGTTGAGGGTGAAGATACACGTGTTTTCGCGTATGCACCCATGCGGAACAACAGGTCAAAACGACGTCATAATGGCTATCAGAAATCACAATTTAATCATGACAGAGAATTAATCAAATTATGATTTGAAAAATTTAGAGACGCCGTTTGACATGGTTCGCGATGATTTGAACGTGGATTTCCCGATACTTATAATTGTATGTTAGAATCTCAACACGGTAACAATTAAGAGTAACGAGTGCTACCACGACAAGAGCATGGTTTGTATGATAAAGTAATATTCAATATTTTGTAAGATTTATATTCTTGAAACTTTCATTTCGTATCTTGTGAAAAATCAGAATATGAATTCTTAAAAAATATCACAAATTCGTAAAATATAAAAAGTATCTGCGAGATTTCAATCATCTCGCATGCAGAGCGACTTGCTTTCTCTCGGCAAAAGTCATCAAAAAGTCAGACGTTCCAAGAAAGTCAAATTATACTTTATTAAAACTGTTAAATGGTATCGTCTTGACTAATAAATGACCTCTGTTCTGCTTGGGTTTGGAATCGCTGAATCGCACGAATGTCGATTCATAATTGCGGAGTGTTTTATATTGTATGATATATTTTCGACGCGCGACTCCGCGTCCGTTTCAATTGCACCTTGTATACGTACGATGTACGCGAGGCCAGGTGTTCTATATTAGATTCTAAGAATGAAGCACACAAATACTGCTACTATTACTGCATAGTTTAAAGCCAGGAAGTACGACTAGAGATACTTTACTTATACATATCGCGAAGCCAATTGTGATCGCACTTTTGCGGCCAAGAATATCATACGCATATCAGGCGAAAGCCAACGTAGCGACGATCTTATGCCGGGATAGTGCATATCCCGATAAATCGTTAGGAGCGCACTTACGGATGTAATTACGATATAACTCGAGAGTTCTAAGTAGCAGATAGAAATATATCGACGCGTTATATACACGGAGAGGATTTTCTTTTAAAATTTATTCTGAAAATCATGTAATCGTGGGACAACATGGCATTTTGAAGAACTGTATGAGAGTTTTTTGAAATTTTACCATACATTATTATAATTACCAGTAAAATGTATGGTAAAACTTCAAAAAAACTCTCATAAAATTCTTCAAAATGCCATCTTGTCCCACGATTACACGATTTTCAGGATACATTTTAAGAAAAACTTCTCTCCGTGTATAAATTATATATTCGTTGTTTCCACGGTGTTTCGTATCGCGTGAATCGCAACAGAGATACTCTAATTTTGTTTCGTGAATTTTTAAACGATATGCAAAGTCCTCGCTCGGCCAATAATTATTGGTTGAAACGTTAAATAATTTCCACGTAAATCAATAAACACGGATTCTGTTGAAGAAAAGCGATAATCGTAACAAATTTATTGATTTAAATATTAAATATGAAAATCATATGCTTTTACTGTTGAATGTACAGTAAAGTGTGAAGGATATACTGAAGTAAGCAGTTGACCAAAGCAATAAAAAGTATATGTATAATAACCAAAGAAATAGTACGCGCTCGAAACCGCACTTAAATTAATAATCTGAATTAGTGTTTAAGGATTAATTCTCTCGCAGCTCCGTGGATCTATTAGTCCTGTGCGCAATCGGTGTCTAGTTTACGATAGTATGGAAATTATTGTTTCCACAAACGTGTTGGTTATTAGAATACATTTTAAATTATGCGTTGAGACGAGACTGTTAATGTTAGCGTCGCAAGGTGATAAAACGCACGACAAGAATGAAAGTATGAACATATAATATTGTAGCATATTCGTGTGAAAATAGCGCTGTAATGTTAATAGACGTAGGACTCGTTTCGTGACAACTCGAACAAGATAAATTCATAGCAAATTGCATTCTTAGGCATCAATAGAAACAATTCCCCAGTAAGCATCAACTAACAGTTACATAACATCAGTATTTGACGTTAACTTCCTACTCAACAATGTCACTGTTACGTACATGTGTTTTATTGCATTTATATTGTTGAGTGGGAGATTATAATCTATTAGTTGGTGTTTACTGGGTTTTTCTTTTCTACTTTAGAACGTCGCGATTCACGCATGCGACTCGTAATCGTTATAGGCGAAGGTGGCTTTCATCGTTGTTGAGATGTTTATTGAAGACTTCGTGGGCATATATTGTATATTATTAAGCTCTTGGTTCTTCGGTCAGTGCTTGAGTCTTGCAAGCCTAGCGTAGATGCGAAGTATAGATGCTAGTTGAAACGAGAATTATCAGGGCACACATAAGAATGATAATGTTGTACTTTAATGTCCGATTAGTGATACGGTTGCCCGGAGCCAACTTTTGAGTATTAACTCAAGTTAATCTCCGACATCATCCTTACCTTCAGTCCTTTATGTAATATAAATTATACCTTTTTATCTCGGCCCTTCATATAACAAATTCGCGATCCTCTTTACTTTCATTTCTTTGCATAATGTATCAACTTTGTTATTAACTCTGGTGCTCAAGAAATTTTACATATACGTAGAAAATATACAATTTATATTTCCTTTTGCTTTCTATCCCTCTTGTATAATAAATCTAAAGGAAAAAGTTAAGTTTTTGTCGTAAAACTGAACATAAATATCAATAAGAATAAGAAAAATAGATATACATATATAACAAAAATGAGGTCCGATAGACCATAAACTGGAAGAAAGTTAAGACAAACTATAATTTCTAACTATATTTTTAATGCGTATGAAAATAAGTCATACATAACCCGATAGCTTGTATAACAAAGACTCTGACGCAAATACGTTCAAAGCTCAATATATTATATAGTTTCAAGTCTAATAGTTTAAACAATTTCTCCACAGAGTTTGCACATAGTTTTCTTTACTCTTAGATCGTGTACAACTGATCTTAATCCTTGTGCGAGCATCTTGGTTTTCCACTACATTCGAAGGATCGTCTTCACTTTCGTAAATGGAAGATTATTCGATCTTCTCGTTCACATTTATTTGTTCTACCTCTGTCAGAACAGTTTGAAATATTTTTTCTTTAAAATAAACGCTTGAGCGAAATTCAATGTTTCGAAGAGAATAAAGAGATTGCTCGTATAAGAATTAAAAATCGTGGCATAAGTTATATATACCTTTGTGCGTAAAACGTTCGATAGATAAACGAATAAATACACTCGGCTTACCGTTCGCGCGGAAAGCATACACAGCATACCTCCGCTAAGTAATTGACCCATGTCAAAGTATGTTGTATCACATGTGTACATTTCCTCGTACAGAAATAAACTCCATCGGAATACCGGGTTGTTCGTTGTCTTGTATTTATTCTTTATTGTTCGTCTTTTTATTTAAAATAGAATATCCATTTTATAATAGTAACAAGTCATTTCGTTCTACGAAACAATTATATGTATAATATAGGCATTACACACGCATGCTCGAAGCTGCCACTATTGTACCTTAAAAGGTGCCTTAAGAACGACGCTTATAATCAATCACACCTCTCTTTATAGACCGCACAACTAGCACTAAACACCAACGCCTAAACAACCAAGGTGACAATGTGAAGTTTCATGTGAGAGTCGCGGACAGCCGCGTTTAATACTAATTGAGGTAAGATGTGAATATAATTCTCGCAGGGTTGGGTAAGTTGTTTTTTTTAACTGAGTTAAGTTAAAGTTAACAGCCTTGAAAATTTAACTTAGTTAAAATACAAGTTAATCCACAATACAATTAATAGAATTAAAAGTTAAGTTAATAATGAGAAGAAATTAAAAAGTTAAAAGTTAAATGTTTTATTTTTACATAAAATCTCAGAGACTCACGATCACGTAAATTGCATTGAATTTCACGACCAGCGTTTGGACAATCAATCACACTAACGGAATATGACCCATTTCATATGCAAACAATTTCACGTAGGTTCGAGAATCAAAGCCCCATATAATGGCTGTGTTCCAAGATTTGTTGCCAGCGCTGAAGATGTATAGTGCACGTAACGTGTACTGTAGATTTTTAGCGCTGGCAGTGAATTTTGGAACACAGACTGCCAATGTAGGCAGACTCGCGGCGTCTCGCGACGCCTTTGTTTATGGCATGGCTAACTTTAACCAGAAAATGGTTAACTAGAAAATGAAAAATCGGGCCTAAGAGAGGTAAATGAAAAGTTAAAAGTTACCGATAAAATGTAACTAAATTCAGTTAAAAGTTGACAGTCTATAAAGTAACTAAGTTCAAATTATTTTAATTTTTTAAATTGTAACTTAACTTTTATCTTTTTAACTAGACACTACCCAACCCTGAATCCTCGGAATGTAAAGTATCTTGACTCTATCGTTTGTACCAGTCATACATTTATAAGAAATACACAGCACTATGCTAAAGCTTATAAAACGATAAATGCAAATGTTATAAAACTATATTTGTATATTTGTATATATTTTCAGATAAAAATGGAAAGAAATGTGTATTTCTCTCCATTGCATACTCATCATAGACATCATACGTCTGTGATCCTTATATATTTAAACTACGTACTTCTTATAAACATATGGTACCAGTCGACTGAATAAAAAATTGTATATGCGGTCATGTATAACAATTGAATCAATTACGTAGACTGCTTTCGGTGTCTTACAATTTCTTTTAGCTTGAATTATTGCACTTAATTTCTATAGCTAACTTATAGTATAGCTTAAATCACATAATAGACATAGAGGATACTTCAAAGCTGCACTTTCTTTCCACCAGACAATCCTGGTGTGAAACTACAGTTGAATTTATTATCCACAAACATTAAATTCACTATTAATAGTGACATTTTCACTCTTTATCATTAAATATCTTTATCACTGAATCTACGAAGATTCTATTGGGGTCATTTTGTAAAATTTGTTTCAAATTAACTAAATTTTGTTATTTACATGTTGCATATCTATGTACATCAAAATCTATTTTACAACTTTTTAGTGCTAAAAATTTTTAATAGTTAAATCTTTATAGCCTTATCATTTACCAATTGTAATGGAAAGAAAGTGTACTCTGGAATGCATTGTACAATTATGCTTAAGTAACGTGATCACAATAGTATTTATATATTACACTGGTTTTGTCAGTGGATAAAATATTTTCAGACTGCCCTTGTTCCTTTATAGTCTACTGCAAATATTACAGACTGTTACTTTACATAATATTAACAGGCTATTATGTTTAAACAGTGTCGTTGAAGCTGAATAAAACACATTGATTGAATTGATAATTCAATTACTCAGAAGACCAGCAACTTATGCAAACACAATGCAACAAATACCAGTTTTGCATCTCTGACGGAGATCGTGTACTGCAAGAAATGTAGAATGTAACATGAATATTATCTCTAAAGAAAGTCGTATAAACTTCGTCTGAATATTTTGTTTCTCGGTGATTTTACCGCGATTGATTGATTTTGATTCTTATTCTGATTCTTATAGTATATCTTGCTTGATCCACGAGAAAATTATTTAATTAATTTTTTTTATATTTATTTAATATATTTAAAAATTTGAAATTCGTGAGGTGGTATTTACATCTTCCTAATCTTAGTATCGTGGCATCGTTAAATCGGCGTTAACATCCTCGTATTCTCCACGCGCGAAAGAGTGCGCGAGGAGATTATGTGCAGTCAATCTTTTCTTTGGATCGTGTTGAAGACACTTCTTCACGAGGTCTACACCTTCCGCGGAAAGATTTTTCGGAAGTGTTGGTGTTTCTCCCATTCCAACCTTGCCACAAAAAGCCAAAAATCTTGAGTTAGAAATTGATATAATTATATATTGTATATATTACATATATATACGTTGTATGTTGTATTATATATTGTATACATATACAATTATATATATATTATATATTGATATAATTATATATAACATTTTTTATAAATTTCAAAAGTATAATTTAAAATTCGATTCAAAGATAAAATGTGAGAAGATAATTCATCTTATCGTTATGTCAAAACAGCCAAATAATTACTTTTCAGCTTTATAGTAATGCATTAAATTGCAATTACCTTAAACATAATTTGATAATTTGAATCATAATCCGACCAGGGCCGTCGCCCACTAGCCATCTCGATGATGCAGCAACCGGCCGACCAGATATCAACAGCTCTACCGTGTCCACTACTTTCAGATTTCATGAATACTTCTGGTGCCATATAAGCTTTAACAAATTTAAGAGATAATTTAAACTACAAGAATTATGAAACCTTAAATAGTTAAACTTTTAATTATACAATTTCCTGATAATTCACTGATTTTTCATACAAGAAAGAATTTGTTGATAATTCCAGGTTTTCCAAAGTTTTGCCAATAATAGTTAGACACGCTGTTGCCACATGACAATTGAAATACCAACCTTGAGTACCAACAAAGCCCTGAAGTTCCCCAGGCATAGTTGTATGTGCTTTAATCTGCACTGCGCTACCGAAGTCGCCGAGTTTCAAACAGTTACCTTCATCTGTTAGAAAAATATTTGCAGCTACGAAAAGAAAACAATGTTATGCAATCATAAATTGTAAAAGTGAATTGGATTTTACAAAAGATCATTTTATTTAAATATATAAATACTTTTAATATCGCGATGAACTATTCCGTGAGAATGCAGTGCTGCCACAGCCGAAAGGAGCTGATGAGTGTATTTTCTGACCAAAGCTTCTGGCAAGCCATTGCCGCTACCCGCCACCAAGCTCTCGAGAGTCCCCTCTGCGCAAAATTCCATGAAGATCAGCATCTCCTCCTAAAAGCAAAATTTAATATAATAAAGTCGCGAGTTAATATATCGCAAAGACAATAATGCTATGTTTATCGTACACGATGAATTTCTAGCCCGTAATATCGCACTAAATACTGATGCTGAATTCCTTCGAATATCTGCAATTCCTCGGCCACACGCCTGATCGCTCTGTGATCGCCAGGTTGCAGTTGCACCTCTTTCATGGCCAACAATTCACCGGTTTGATTGTTAACTACGGTATACACTTTGCCAAATCTTCCCTGACCTGCATAGTAAAATTAATTTATTAAAATATCTCTATTCTCCACTAAATATTACGAGTATTATCTATTGATAATCATCTATTGATACGATAAATGATTCTTTTATGTGATCCAGGTGATTACAAGACGTACCTATTTTGATACCACGTTGCCACGTGAACGTAACTCGTCTCGCTTTGACGTGAACTCTATCCACTGCTTTCCTGTCGATGACTTGTCCGATAAGCTCTCGGCTCCGCAATCTTTCGTCGAGCTCACTCTCCATTTTCCTGACGGCCTGGATAATCCTCTCGTGCCTCAGCATGTTTCGCTCGGGCGTGTTTATTATCACTGTGAGATTTCCGTCGACCATGCTCGGCGAATTACTTTTCTTCGCGCTGGCCGAAAGCTCGGGCGACTTCAAAGCGTCCCGCGGCTTCTGAGAGATGCTGATACTCGCGGTTCTAGTGCGACCATGGCATGGCGATGAAGCTCTCGATCGCGATAATCTTCTTAGGTCTGAAAGCAAACGTTGCCAATGATTGTAACGAAATATTTTCACTTAATCATTTTCAGAACTAAATTCTATACCCGAGAGATAAACTATCATAACGAATATTTAGCAAATTTACACAGAGAAGTCGAACTAAACTTGCATTTCTATCAGCCGCTTTTCATAATTTTTTCCCCCACTTTCGTTTATTCCGCAAATACGATTATTTATCACTGTAGAATAAATAATTAGACCAGTTGAAATAAAAAACTCAGTTGATAATTTTGTAGTTACGACAGTTTTGCACTTTTCAAGTATAGAATTGGTCATTTAGTAAGTTAGACACTTTAATAAATTTAAAGTAACAAAACACGTCTAAAGTAATAACATTGATATTTATAATTTCTGTTAAGCCTATATCATGAAGATAAGTGGCGTCAAGAGACCAATCGTGCAAAAGTTGAATGACCAGAAAAATTATAGATTACTTTCTGTTTCTTGCGTCGCTCCTGAAACTGAGACGGTCCCAACCACATGAGATATGCAGCGATCCATGCACCTCTTCAACTCCTCGAACTCTTGGTCAGTGAGATGCTTCGTGTTGTAGGGCTCGCACACCGTTATTAAAAATTCCAGGCCTTGATTCGCCCATCTGGGCCTCAAACCGCGACCACGCTCGCATCGCGTTCTCACAAATTCCATCCACAGTAGCGCAAACGATACTAAGCCCTGCGCCAGAATGGCCTTCTCTTCCAGCGAGAATAGCTTGCACATCTCCTTGTGAAAATCGAAGCCCATCCTGTAAGCTTGATGGAGGATCTCGCGGATTCTCGATCGTAAGTGATCGTTCTCGGTGTTCGATTGCTCCACCTCGTTGGCTTCGTTGTGAAAGTCCTCGATCACCATTGTTATGCGACATCTCAGATCCAGAATTGTATTCTGTACAAGTGTGGAAAAGAGATTTAGCTTTTCAACAGCTGTATAATCGCTTACTTAATCTTACCTTCAACAGCTTTAATGATTCTTCTAACTCCTGGTCAGAGACGGGCCACTTCTGGATGTCGCACTTCAAGCATTTGGCTAGATTGATACTCTTCACAATCTTCTCCCGAGTCTCCACGAACATTCCTTGCCACTCGCGACCCACAAACATCATACGGTGGAATCTAAGCATTGAGTTATCATTGAGTTATCATAGTAAAAAAAAACACTATTTGCAAAAGCGTCAAAGTAGAGACGAATGAATGCAGATTTTCTCTTACTTGCTTCCCTCGTCGTCCTCCTGTTCTTCGCTATTCGCATTCTCTCGGATCTCGCGAATTCGTTCGACGAGAAATTCATTCACTTGTTTGATCATCGTTTGCGCAATCTTACTGTAAGAAACATCTTTAATATCAAATATGTATAGAAGTTAATACAAATAAAAATGTATTCTATTATTTTCTCAATGCGAATCATATTAGAAATATCTAGTCAGCCTGATACTCACTAAAATTTCACGCCAGCAATTTTGTATCCATCGCTTATATTCCCAGCAATGGATTTGACAAACAACCACTCATCCATAATCAGATTTTTGTGAAAGCTATCGTGTTGCACCATGTCCACCCACTGCTGAAGATAATCCAGGTATACCTCGAACACGGCTCTTAGACTCTCGTCGAAGCACTTGACGTCCTCCTCGAACAGATTTTCGCAACCGGCTTCTTCGCTGCCTATGGCACGAGACTGTGCGGCGAACCGATCACGATGGATGCAAGCAATTCTGAGGCCCTCGCGCAACTCCCGCATGAGCTGCCGGACCGACAACGGGCTCGGCTGCTCCGGCTTCTGCTCCAATCTCATCCTTAAAAATTCATGGACCACGTCTAGAGGCACGCGCGAGAGAAACACAAAAGCCGCCCTAGAAAGAGAAACTTTTATTACTATTAGCTATTACCATGTCACTGGAAACATAGATATTTACTTCCTCTTGGTTGAACTTTAATTTAATTCATCCGGAGAAGGTACAAATTTGGCATCGAATTCAGAGCCAAATGAGAATTTTGGAACCAAACGAAGATTATTCCTCAATACGTGAGTTAAAAATACCAAATATCAAGAAATCTCTTCAATCGGAAATTCCACACACCTGTACGACGGTAAACTCAATTCCTTCGCTTCAGTACTCCAAGTACCATACCGTCGCAATTCTCTGTCACCCTCGTATTCTTCATTCGCACTACTATCGCACTCCTCACAGTCATTTTTCTCCAAAGTTAATCTTGCCTTTCTCAATATAGACGTATGTAGTCGATCCAGGAAATTCAAACTCTTTCTGAGACCTCTCGTTTTCAATACATCCTCAATGTATTTTCTAAGCAAATAAACAAAAATTGTCGCCATATAATTCACGAGTCGTCGGTTTGTATCATATAACTAGCTTAAAATTTCAACTAATCACTGGCGAAGAAAAGATTCTCAGTATAGTTAACTAGCTTAAAATTATAATTAATTTTATAATGCGAACACGAGAAAAAATCAATTTAAAGTAAAAGCGAAGATTCATATATCAAGTGTATCAAAACATACCTATAAGCGTGTCGATCAAATTCGACCAAGTAGAAATCCAGTCGATCGATTCTTTCATCTTCAAAATACGCGAACGTGGTTTCGGGAGTAGGTGGCAGTGATTGCGACATAAATGATAAACCCCCGATCGAGGAATTGTTGCTGTTATTGCTGTCGGACGGGCTAGAAGTTTCGTCCTGTTGAGGCAATTCAAATCGCACCATGGATTGTCGCTCCGCAGAATCGAAAGTATCTGAAGATCGCGAACTAGAGATAGGAACAATCAATTACCCAACTCCAAAGCTTCGGTGCATCGAGAGAAATTCTAAAGGTACCTTCGTTAAGTTAATAAATTATATATTATACATTGTACAATCGTACGCTACCGACAAATCTTTCAAGCGTCTTGATTTGCTTATGCAAAATAGAATGTTTCTAGACGTAGAGAGCGCATTGTAAATTAGACATTGTTGCGCATCACTCTCTTAGAGACAAAGACTTCAAACATAAAACATTTCTTAAGAGTACAAGGCAATCATTCCGCCAAGGTCCTAACGCGATTCGAATCTGCGTACCTGATGCCAGAGTCGTTAAATTCATCCTGTCTTTCTTTCTTCTTGCCGTGCAGCATCATGAGCAATCTGCCGAGTATCTGCAACTTGAATCGATGGTGCTTTGTCATGTTGTACCAGAGGCACATGGCCTTCACCCTGTCGGTGAACTCCGGGCTCTTGTACAACGGGTAGTTAACGGCGAACGCGTGGGAGGACGGATACAGGGCCTCCGCAGTCTCCAGGCGAGCCAGCAGACCTTCCACCTGCTGTAACGCTTCCCCCTGCGCGCGGGCGCATGCACGACAGTACATGGAAAGGCAACCCGAACATACGCCCAGTTCAACATTGGGGCTCAAACCGGAATTTGTGGATCGATCGCTCGTAACGTCGCCGGGGCTGACGCAACTCGAGCCTCCCTCTTGCGCGTCCGTGGTGGATTCGTATCTAATGCAACAATTGCACTCTCTTAGCACCATCGATGCGTAACTGCCGTTTTTCTCCTCTTAGCATCTCAAGTGAAATTATTGCACGTCGCCAAGTTGATTCCTTTCGAGTACGCTCACCTGTACTGCATTATTTCCGAAAGCAAACCCTCCACTGCTTCCCGCTGGCGGCACAGATACTCGTCCTGCGCCATCAGACTGCGGTCCGCGTGATGCGCCTGCAATTCTAGCCATATCAAGTCCTTCAGCTCGTTCTGCCACCTGGTCTCCTCGTGACTCATCTGACGGCGACAATTCCGTTCCGTGCTTCCCTGCGCAACGAAAGGGAAATGTATAATTTCATCAGCAAGAACGAAGATAATATACAATATACTCTACAGATAGCGGAGCGCATTTTTGATTCATCCCGCAACCAGATGTTTACCAGCTTAATTAAAAACGAGAACGTGTCGTGAAAGATCTCTCTCTCTCTCAAGCTCTGCGTTCTCGGCGACTGCGCGCGTAGACTCTCCTCGTTTATCAACACACTCCGTTCGCTGACTTCGGGCTCCACCTTCTTCTCTTCTACGTCAACGGGTTTGGATCGGAGGCAGCGGAATCTATTTCTAGTCTCGACCTGCGGAGAGAAGCATATTTCTTGACCGCGCGCCAAATACGTTCGACAGGAAAGATGAGAAAACACGGCTGCGTTGGAGAAGCGCAACGACAGACTCGGAAAGATACGTTAATCGCGTCCGTTGAGTTCTCCAAACGCGGCTGACGCTCGGCGCCGCTTTTTTGCCTTCCCGAACCTTGATTTGATTCGGCGTCGACACCGCCGTGTCGCCGCCGGCGAACCTCTCGGCATAGCTGTGGGCGGCCTCCACGTCGAGCTTCAGGTCCCTCTCGTTGCCGCGCAGCAGCTTCAGAAACCTCTTGCACTTTCTGCCGCCTTCCTTCACGTCCTCCTTCGCCTCGTCCTCGTTATCCTTGTCCGCCTTGTCGCACATCTCGTTGAAGATGATGGTGTCCAGGGTGTTCCGCCTGTGGATAGCCGTCTTTGGCCTGGCCTCTTTCTCTATCGACTTGAGATCGCTGGAAAATGGACAAACAGACTAAAGATAGCTTTGCGCGCTCCGCGGCCGCGCGAGTGACAATTAAATTAACGGCCGAGTTGACTTGGCGAAAAGCCGCCTTCCGCGAAGCGTGAAAGCGACTTCCGCAAAGCTGGAAAACGTTTCACGCGTAATTCCCAGTTTCCGAAATCGTTCTACATCCTCCGTCCCGAGGTCGCACGGTGTAAACTGACGTTACGCACTTCGTACCTTACGGTCGTTCGTTAAGTTCGTTCAATCGCAAAGCGATGCATGCACAAATGCCGCGCCGTACACGTAATAATTATGTCTCCCCGGCGATTCGTCGCGCAGCCACGTCCGCGCACGCACCTGCCCGAGAGCTTCTGCTTCATGTGCCGCTTCTTGCGACTGAGGCGAGTCCTGGGCGGCGTTTGTCCGTAAATATCCGACATCGTGTGCAGCGACTCCTCGAACTCGTTTGGCGGACTGATTGAGTCATCCTTACTGCAAACGAGATACTTAATCGAACGTTGCGCTTCCGCCGGACGGTTTATCGTCGATTATCGTCGGGGAAATTCGCGGGGACGGGACGTCGGCTCGGAGGAACGGTACTCGCGCGAATTCGTCGATTCCCGCTCAGGCCCGGTTTTCATTTTCTGGTTAACTGTTAAAGTTAGTCGACTCTCTATCTTTCTTTACATTGTTATCTAAAAAGAGACAAAATTGATTGACCTCCGCTTAACAGTTATGCCCATTTTTACCGGGCCTTAAGGCCTGTGTCCACGATG